ATCTAGATTTTATGCTAATAAATCTGAATAAAATGAATACAAAAGCCAATAGTGAGTTAAGTATGCAAGTTAAGGAATGAGAATCCCCAAAACAATTTTCTCTCTAAAAATTGTTCCAGTCTTCCCCAGACAAGAATATATTTCTGATGATGAGACATCTTGGAATCAAAGAATAATTGATCCAATGCTAGAACTTCTGTTCATTTCTGACAAACCAGCACTACTAGTTTAACAGAAATAATAAATTTCAGGCAATTTTGTGGTACAGTACTCTTATTCTATAAAGATCATATAAAGACAGATAGAAATGAAATTCTCATGCATAGTATATGCCCATGACAAATACTACAAGAGTCCTGTACATTTCCACTGAAACTGTGCTATAATCAGAATCTGTACCTCCAATGATAGATGACCAAGAAAATTTTAAAGGGAAAAGGAGCAGGAATCAGCAAGAAGCAAGGCCTTTGGATTATTCTGAATATTGCCTCCTGCAAAAGTAATTGTCTTGCAAATTGATTCTGTGATTTGAATTGACTAGACAATTTTTGATATCTAGTTTCAGATGTTACTAGCCAACCCAAAGACTTCATGGGGATACTAGATAATTCAGTCTGAAAAGCAGTTGAGAAATCAAAGCTAGTAATACAGACTTTTATGCATGCAGGTGAAATTAAGCAGGTATATTGGCTTATTTCAGAGGATCCCGGAATACTGCCCAGGGTCCTCTCAGCCCTTGTCTTGTGTGTGGCTATGCCAGTGCACTGGCCTAGGACATGGAGGGAGAAATCAGTGCTGGCCAATGAACAAGAAAAGCCAAGTGAGGGTAAAAACTGCATGTGTGTGTGTGTATGTGTGTGTGTATGTGTGTGTGAAGCCCACTGTCCACTGGGTGACGTGTCAGCCAGTCCCTAATTAAATGTCTCCAGTGGCAACCCACTTTTAACTAGGATACAATTCCAACTCCTTTCCAAGGTTTGAAGACTCTACAAAAATCTGCCTCCCTTCTATATGATTATCTCTCTTCCTGCGCCCCTTTTGAAACTCTCCTTCTTCAACTCTTTCCATACACTTACCTTCTATTCCTTCAACACCCCGAATTCATTCATGCCTTAGGACTTTTGCAATTATATTCACTCTACCTGGAATGCTCTTTCTTCTGCTTTTCACTTGACTGGCTCTTTTCCATCAATCACACTTCAGCACAAGTGTCATCTCTTCAAAGAAGCTGACTGTCCTAGCTTCATCTGTCCTCTAACACACTTTCACATTGCATTGCCTTTGCAAAACTCATTCTACCAGAAATCTGCTTCATTTACTTCTAACTCATTAATTGACTGATTCCCATCAAAACATAAGCTATAAGAGCAAGAGCTTTGTCTGTCTGATTCAACACTCCACACACTCCTCCATGACCCCCAGAACATCTCCTGTTATATGATGGATACTCAGTAAATACTTGTTGGCCATAAATTTATCCCACCTTAAAGATGACCATGTAGCAAGTCACCCAAATCCACCCTGAAACCAATCTCTGCTCCAATGTTGCCCCAAGTTCCAGCAGAGTGACCCATAGTGTACCAATTCCAGGCCTGCTTCTACAGCCTGTGGAAGGAGAGTAACCCTGTAACTTTTGCACAGTCTCCAGCTTTCTTGAATCTTATCTAGAGGCCTATTCTCATTATCTAAAGATCTTTCCATTCCCAATCAGATGAAAAGTGTTTAAAAAATTCTTCAAAGCCCAGTATTTGATGCTACAGAAAAACAATGATACCATTTGGCATACTTTACCCCAGGATGGGATACCAGAGGGAAAAAGAGAGAACAGGGGAGAAGAGAACATTTTTACTCAATTCTTCAGTATTTATGGTAACAAAAATTTCCTAAGGGCTGGTTGATTTCCTTGCCCTCTTTCTCAACAGTCCAGGAAGAGGAAAGCGTCTGTTGGGCCGAGGATTTAGCTCAGTGGTTCCGGCACCTGCCTTGCAAACGCATGGTCCCGAGTTCGATCCCCAGTACCAAAAAAAAAAAGAAAGTTCCTGCTGTTAGACCAAAAAGTTGTGGCAGTAAAAGATAAGCTAACCATTCCTATTTAGATGACCAAAAGCTCTCTAAGAAGAGAAATACAGACATGGGGGATAAAGCAGATCCTACTACTCTTTATTCTCTTTTAAAAATCCCTATAACCTCAATCCCTCAACCATTCTTAGTCTGACCATAGGGAAGGCAAGTTCCTGATCAAGTATGAGATACTATGGCTACATTTCTGTTAAGGGATCACTGTCAGGGGAGAAAGCTCCTGTTACCCCTAAATGGCAAGGGAACTGTGTTTCTAACAACCTACTATGGAACCATAAATACAGTATGCTACTGAAACAATATAATCCCCAAGGCATACATTCTAGGGCATCCACAAAGCTCATTCCAAATCAAATATATTTTTAACCCATAAGGATTAACTTGAAACTATGATGTATTATCCACTGCAGTTGGAACAGACAAGAGAAAGAGGTTTATCTCAATTGTGAGATGGGAATATAGCCCTGAAAAGACTTCTGCCATGCAAGATACAGCTGGCTCTTAAAGGGTGAGTAGGAGTGTCAGTGAAAATATATTCAGGAAGAAAGGTATTTTGAAATGCAAACCCCTAGAGATAGCATAATCTCCTGGATTGGCCAAACACAGCATATCTAAGTAGCACATCAAAAATATACAGAAGATAGAAGCTAATTAGTGACAGTCTGAAGCTGCAAAAAGGAAAGGGAGGCAAAGTATGCAAATCACCTGTTTAAGAAGCTCAGCTTGAGAAGTAATTAGGAAGGTATATTCAAATCAAGGCATTTATAAATTGAGTGTGTGTGTGTGTGTGTGTGTGTGTGTGTGTGTAAGGCAAAAAAGAAACAGATGCACAAGGACTGGAAAATTTTAAAAAGAATATATGTTATGAAAGTGTCCTGTAAAAGCATAAGACAGGAGACAGACGTTTATGTTATCCATTTTAAGTGGCTTAACTTAGGACACAGTTTCTTAGCTAGGAAATGGGGCTAAAAGTTCTTGTCTCTGAAAGTTGTTGAAAGATTAAAGAAAGAAATGACTTATGACAACACATATGGGATCATAATGGGTACCATATATACATTCCATGCTTTTTTCACCTCAGTAAACATCTACCAGTGCATGTTAAAACAGATGCTGGTCCTCAACCCTAGCTGAAATCATAGCTCCCATTGATACCACTTGGCAGTGTGCATAGTTATCAGGGGAATGTAGGAAGCGTGGCATTATTCATTTCTGTTCTATAATGTAGAACAACAGAAGAAAATGGCTGTGAAATTCAGACCTCTGTCACTGAGTTCTAGAATCAGAAACTAGAGAATTACAATTTCATGAGAGATTGATTTTTATTTATTTTCCATTTTTACAGTACTGGGAATTGAAATCAGGGTCTTGCACATGCTAGGGAAGGGCTCTACCATAGGGATACATTCCAGTTCTTTTTATTTATTTACTTATTTATTTTTATTTTGAGACAAAGTCTCGCTAAACTGCCAAGCTTGCCTTGAAACTTGTGATTCTCCTGTCTAAGCTCCAGAGTACCTGGGATTCCAGATGTGCTCCAATGCCTCGGGCTAGACTGATGTCTCTTAGTGGCACTTTTCTGACAATACTGTCTATTCTTTTGAGCCTCAAAATTTTCTTCTTACTGATTTGGGACAGAAGAACAAATTAAGTGTTTCCAATAAATCTACTGAAATGTCAAAAGTGCATTCCCATTTAACTGGACCACTACATCAAGACATGGAATGGGTCCCACATTCTGAGACTATGTAAAACTTTTCAAGGAAATCTCTATCAGACAGTGAATGACCACCCTCCCCATTCCACATTATAAGGGGAGGTCAGGGAAATACAAACACTTCCTAGTTTTAAAACCAATATAGCCATTATGCAAAGTGCTTTAAAGGCAGTCAGCCTTATTAAAGACAAACTAATAATCTATGGGTGTCTTTTCACCAGATCTTGATTTGAAAAGCAGTCCTTAATAAATGGAAAAGGAAACAACACAAGCCAATTTACAAATGTTAAATCAGCGTTCTTTCCAAGTGAAGAAAATCTGGCACCTTGATTAGGCCTTTCCAAATACTGTATTTAACATCTCCATGTAAACAAAAAGATAGTTCTACGATCTGCAGCAGAGAGAGGAAATTTGGAGAGTGAAAAGTAAAATATTCTGGCTAGGAGACATAGAGGCGGCCATAGGAGATCTGACCAAGAATTGTGGGGCCTGGACATGGGGTACCAGAAACAAAGAGGAGAAAGAGCTTCCAGCTGATCTGAAGTTCCCATCTATCTACTTATAGTACTGAGCTAATCCTCTTAAAGCAAACATGACGTGTTAATTTAAGACTATGTGGCTCTGAGAGGTTATCATTCGCTATGGCTTCCCCAGACCCACCTCTCTCACAATTTTTAAACCTTGCCTGTGAACGGCAACACCCGCGGCTTGTCCAATTCCCACTTCCTCCTCCTTCTCCTGTTTCCACTGAAGATCCTAAAAAAAGTGGTTTGGGTTCGTTTTAGGTTTCTGGAAATCGCTTTTTATAGATTTTCCTTTATGACAAAATGACAGCACACAGGAAAACGGCTGATACTCGCCAGGAACTCCTAAGCCAAAAATCACAAAATGACAAGTTTCTTCTCGACATTATCTTGAAAATTAACGGTAGTTCAAACATAGCAATTCTCTTACAGCCACCCTTCGACCCCAACAGCCTCAGTGCCTTCTTTGTTAGGTTTAATTGTACTGTGGTGGGAAGATGGGTTTCTTAAAAAACTTTAATGGGAAAAACTGAGAACCTTCCAGACCTCACTCATCCCTCCACGACTACAAACCCTTACACAAGAAAACAATAGCGAACCATGACCACCACCACCCCTCCCCGCCTCTGAGCACACAACCTGGAGAGGGTCCTGTCCTAAAGGGGTGCCCTCCCCTCTGGTCCTCTCGGGCAGCTCCAGGACTCTGGCAGGGATGGGGAAGTCTCCTGGGCCTCGCCCCCGAGCACCCCACGGGCTCGGGGGTTCCTGCGCCCCGCGGCTTCAAGACGTCTGTGTTTGCAGTGAGCCCCAGGACTGGCAGGGCGTGTGCATCCGGGCTCGTGGCCCCTACTCCCAATGCTCAGCCTCGGAGGCGCAAAAGCTCGAAGGTCTGGTCAGTGCGGACCCCAGGCCTACAGGGCCTAGGTCGGGAACCCAGTCTCCCTGCATCCCCAGCCTCCCTCTCTGCAGCCACGCAAGCCCTCGGCGAAGCCGTCCGGAGAGTTACCGCGGAGGCCCAGGCGAGAAGACTAAAGAGGCTGCGGGACTCCGTGGCCGGGGCGGCTGCTCTCCGCCCGCCCGCGCCGCTCGCTCCAGCTGCTGCCTTTCCCGCGGCACGTCGCAACGGGTCCCCGGGCCCGCGTGCGGTTGGCGGAAGCCGGAGGAAGATGGCCCGGGCGCGAGTCCTCCCCGGAGACCTGCTGGGGGCCGCTGCAGTCTGAGGAGCCCGCGCCCCCGCGCCGCGCGCCGCGCCCGCTCCCGGATCCGCCGGGACTGCTCACGGCACCTTCCGGGCGGCAGGAGGCTCCTCCTGCTCCGCGGCCGCCCGAGTTCGCCCAGAAAGGTGCAGTGCAGAGCGAGGCTGCGGGGAGCACCATGCCCCAGGGCGGCGAGGCAGGAGTGCGGCCGAGCCCCTACCTTTCTCGCGGGGCGGACACCAGACCCACGCCCTAGCCGAGTGTCCCGGACAGGAAAATTACCGCGAAGGGAGGGCCGAGGAAAGACGGCGGGTGACTTCAGGACAAGGTAGGAGGATCGATTTCCACAGCCAAGAAGGCACTCCCATCTCGCCTGGTTTGTTTGGAAGACTGTAGGAGCGAAAGCGAGGGGCGGCCGGGGCCTCTCTTCCCCGCTTCGGAGACCGGCTCACGAGCGGTGGCACTCGGGACCGTCTGCCACTCGCGGAGTCTAAATTTGGTCCTAGGGGAGGGGCGTTCCGACAGCTACCGACTTTCCAGGCTGTGCTCTTCAAGGACGAGTCCGTTAGTGCTTTTTCCTTTGAAGCAGCTGTTAAGTTTGGATGAAGAGACACGCTTTTTTCTTCTTTCTTGTTTTCTTTTTTCTTGCTGAAGAAGCTTTCTCTAGGGAAAAGTCTACTATATTAATAATTTCCTCATACTTTGATGGCTCTGAATGCTTTTTAAATTTAAGTGTTTTTCAAATAACTCATTGCCTAGCAAACATTCAATTCATAGCTCTAAGCCTTTGGGCACTGAGCACATAATCCTGTGCCATCAAATGACTCCACCAGAGGAGACCTCCTGACTTTGGACGTGGGACAAATTCAAAGCTGACAAAGTAGCATACACTGCAACAAAGTACTTCATCTGTGATCAACCTTCTCGCATTTATCTTAATTATAACAACAGCTCTAGGAGTCAGGACTTGTTAGGATCCTGATTTTACTAATCAAAGCACTGAACGGGCTTAAATTATTCATATTTTTTGTCTTTTCTACAAATTGCCTTTGACATGATCCACACAGATTTTGTAATTTTAAACATAGCTCTTGGGACATCAGGTTAGTCAATAACGTTTAAGGAATTTGACCATCTGGGTAATTTTTCTTGAGATTCTCTTGCTCTCTTAGTTTTCACTGGGTTCCTAATTGTCCTTTCCTTGTTTATGTCTTCAAAATTAAATATATTTTTCCTCTCATCTCTTCTGGCTCCTAGACTTTTTGACTCTGCAAAGAAATGTGCTGAAGGGAAGTGGCCATGTAGGTGATGATAGTGCTTCTTTGCATTCTGGAGGACAGTAGGGACAGTGTTTCACCTAAATTAGTGGGACTATAACCCGTCCTGCTGTGTGACCTTAGGCAAGGGGCTCCCCCTCCTGGGCGCTTCCATTTTATCCACTATGAAGTGAGACAGTACAGCCTATTTTAGAGGTTATTAGGAGAATTAAAACAGTGATAAAATACTAGGCACATTGCCTGTCACAAAACTATATCAACTCAAAAAGTAAAATGTAGATTTATTTTACAAAGAATATGAAGTAACAGTCATTGCCCAGAATGAGTCAGCTGCCCTCTGACCAAGTCCGCTGGCCAGAATAATCTTGTAGAAATGAAAAAATTGTAATTCAAATGCAAGTGCCAGATATCAGAATCAACATTCTTTCCAGAGTGTTGCCATTGTGCCACTTTCTGTGGCAGGGGCTTTTGATCTGTCTAACATTAATTTTTTTAAACTGAGGGTACATTATTATATAGACGCATAGTTGCTACTATCAAAAGATGTTAAATTCCCAGGGGAACCTGACAAAGGATTAAGCAGGGTAATGGAATTATAGATTGTTGACCCTCTGTGTGTTCATGTTTTTGGTAGTTGTTTTGGGAAAAAATATTTTCATAATGTAAATATATAATTATATATAATCACATACATTTGTATGTGCATAAATATATAATATATATCTCAGTCCTTTTGTAGACTTGTTCTAATAATGTAAGAAGGATGAGTCATGTAGGTGAAGGGGACACTTTGCTAATGGAAAGTCCTCTGAGGTCATAGTATTGAGGCAGTGTACATATAATGCTGGCCCTGATGGCTATGCTTGTTTTTGATAACAATTTGAAATAAAATGAAATTATTTCATGAGATGTGGCCTATGAATACATGAATACAGGTAAAAGCCAGGTTTCCTACACACTCAATAGTGCTGTTAAGGGCCGGGGATTTAGCTCAGTAGTTTCACTGCCTGCCTGCTGCCCAAGTGCAAGGACACAAGTTTGATCCCTGGTACCAAAAAAAAAAAAAAAAAATAGTGCTGTTAAGTATTTGTAGACTCAAATTCTAAGGAAGGCCCAGAATGTAGTATTTCTGCCTCATCCCACATGTAGGACTTGCCTTCCAAATTCTCATGTTTTTCCCAAGTACAGCCTTTCCTGGCAGGCTGATGTTAAGAATGTCTATCCTTGGAGGAGAGACCTGCTCCTGAGTGTCCTCTCAGCAGAGAAATGATAGCAGATTAGTTGGTGAACCCCAGAACAGAAGATAGCTGCTGTGTGAAGTGACAGGAATCTACTGTACTTTCTTATACCCTACCCTTAAGAGTTAATAATTCTTTAAGTTTTATTTTGTGTTTTTAACATTGCTTAAGGTTGAGGTTGGTCAGTTTTTATTATAATTATTTGTTGGGAGCAATGCTACATAATTCTAGGGAAAAATCATTTGAGTAGGCCTAGTTCTCCTGCCTACAGGCCAGCTATAACACTCCAAGACATAATTCCATTTTGGCCTCAGGTCACAAGGGAGATCTCAATGATCCCATGATGCTGTAATCCTCCAGGACAAGACCACACCTGTGGGAGATGCCCTAGGAGGAACCAAATCTTCATCTGCATAGTTCCTCATTGTTCTTAGATTTCCGCCGCCCCCACCTAGTCTTTTGTTACACCTTGTTCATCCCAGTGTGATACTGAAATCTACATATTCATTTGTTACTTTTGTTTCTTCCAGTGTACTAAATAAAAGGTGCTGCAAGCTAGGGCTTCTAGTCTTTGCCGCCTAGAGCCGCACTGATCAGACCCAAAGCTCAGCTTCTTCTCAGTCTCATTTGTCTACCTTTCCTGTCATTCGCCATGTGCTGCCGTGGCTCTCAGGAGACTAGGACTTACTGCAGAGATTCTGGTAACATCCCCTTCCCCTGTTCCCTACAATTATTAGTACATATCACTTGTACAAATTAATAGATTTTCACTGAAATTTCCATACATGCATATATCATGCTTTGATCATATCCTCTTCTGCCTTCTCTTGTCTTCCCTTCTTTCCTCCTTCCCCTCTCTCTTTCACCTTTTCTAAGTCCCTCTTCTACCTTCAGGTCATCTTTTTTTTTTAACTGAACTTCTGAACTTGACCAAGTTAATCCTGTTTATATACAACCCTTTCTCTGAATCATGATGAAGATTCTGTCTGCTAAGTCTTCTAGCTGTCTTGCATTTTTAGCTCCTGTAAGCAATTGTTTAATGAACACATTCACCTCAAAAAGAATAAATTACCCTGCCTAACAGATCAAAATCCTAATTTAGGGCTATGACCCTGCCTAACTCTATAAAAACTATTCATGAAAATCAATTGTGTTCTTTCAACCAGCACCATATGTCTCCAGTATCTCCACTTCAGAGCAAGGTCTCAACTATATTTTACATATATAAATATCCATTGAGAGGTTTTTCCCAGGATTGCACTTTACAAAATGAAAAAAATTAAATCTACAAAGAAGCTTATTTTTCACTTCACAAATGATAGTCCTTATATTCTACCACTCCTATCAGGGGTTCAGAGATAAGTCCCAGGGTCTATATTTACTCTTTTCCCACAGCCTAGAGGATAATCTAGGGTCAAGGGATAAGGACAGTCCAAACATATATGCATGGGGAACATTTATATGGTGGAATCCATACCAGCAATTAAGTGACACAACTTTATTTTTTGAATGGTTAATATCCAGGATATATAAAGAATTCCTGTGAATCTATAAAAGAAGTAACTCATTTTAAAATAAGACAGGCCATGTTATGGTTTAGATCAAGAGTGATCCCCAAGACTATCATGTACACGAGGTAGGGCTTTTGGAAGGTGATTGAATATGGGGGAGGTATAGCTGCCTTGATATTAGGTTAAGGGTCTGGTTGGATGGCTATGTAAAGACTGAAACTTCTAAAATATAAGCCAAAATAAACCTTTCTTCCTTTAAGTTATAGGTGTTGGGTATTCTGTCCTAGGTACTAGGAGAAAAGTGCCTAAGATAGGCCATAAACAAACAATTTATAGAACTAATACAAATAGTTCATAGGCATGGGCAAAAATCTCACTGTCCTTTCATAATAAGCCTAATAAGATTGACAAAACATAAAAAGGTTAATGAGATTCACTTCTCTCAAAAGGTGTTGGAAAACTATTCATGAAAGTGTAAAGTGGTACTTCCTTCTTATAGGGCAATTTGGTGATTGCTGTCAAATTTACAAGATTGTTTGGGGTTTGAATTTCAAGCTCATAATTAAAGTTCTTTAACTTTCCTCCTCAGAGGACATTTTGGCCTCAAGCCAACAGCAACCTAGAAGAGAGGAGGAGGAGGAGGAGGAGGAGGAGGGAAAAGAATGCAGGATCTTTTATGTGGCTCCTAGTGACCTTGGTCAACACAGGAAGGAATCCTAGTTGCTGAGCAGCTCCCTGTACAGACTGAGACAAGGTTGGACTCTTTTTAGAGTCTTGTGGGGCCAGTCTCCAAAATGACTACATCATGGAGCAGCTTTCTCAGAGCTCTTATTCACTGATAGCAAAGGTGAGAGAGGTCTGGAGTGTTGTTTCTGTTTATGGCCTGTTCCTGGCTCCCAGGAGAGGAGGGAGTTATCTACCCTTCCCATGTGTCTGTGGAGTCTCTCTTCTCATTTGTATTCCAGTCCCATGACTGGTCATCTGTCAAATTAATACAGGTACCCTTATAATGCTGGGTATTTACATAGTCTGTCAATTATGCTAAACAGTTTTAGCTTGCACTTTTGTCTCTCATGTCATTAATAGTCAGATTTACCCCATTTCACTCATGAGTATTTGTAAAAACATTTCTGAATGTTTGATTTTTCACAAAAAGCACCTATTGACTTTTAACTAAAATGAAGATAGGTTTTTCAAATCATTTTTTATATTAGGAAATCTGTCATGTCAGTGCTTAGTAACGTGTCAAATTGAGCTTTCTTTATTGAGAAAGGAGAGTCGGTTGTTTATCTGGGAATAAACAGTGATAAAAACTAGCGTCATGAAGAGGTGTCTGCACCATTTTCATCAGAACCTTGTCAGTGACAGTGTTTTGGATATCTATTAGACTCAACCTCAAAATTAAAGAAATTCATCTACTGCAAAACTTGCAGGAATTCTCACATTACCACAAGGATGTTTATGAAGGCTGCTTGTGAGACTGAGCCACACCAATGGAATGTAAAGTTGGTGCTGGGGATTCCATCAGAACCACTACCTGTGCATACTCAGACCTCTCCAGCTTTCTGCCCTTACTGAAGATAAGCAGAGGATATAGGAAAAAGAAATAAGGGAATATCTTTGGAAAGATGTCAGGAGCTGATCAGACCCCTGACTACCTGTATGGAGGATGACAGAAAATGAAAGAAAGAGACAGAGACAATATTCAATAGGCAATGGGGGCCCAGAGGAATCTGCCTCTAGTGGATAGGCTCAATGAACTCCACAGTAGACCTCCTTTTATTATTCAGCAAGAACCATGGAGGGTGGTAGTGTACTTTTCCAGGAAGACTGCAGTAAGATTAGGGTAATAAAATAAGGAGCAAGTTCGGCATCTCAAGGGGCCCCCCCATACCTGGATGACTGCATTTTATATTACCCTCAGCAGATGCTATCTTGCCTCAGGAGATCTGTAATTACAGCTTTCCCACAGTCAGGAAGTCTGTAACCTTTTGTATACTGTTCCTCCTGCAAGTCAACACTGAGCCTCAGACTGCCAGGCCTGGGGCCTGGCCCCTGGCCCCCACCAATCTATGCATATCATGGCTAGTCCCCAAGGGAAAGATGCAAATGTGAATTCACATTTATATCCCTGCCAGAGGCTATACCTATTATTTTATGAAGATTATATTGTTTATTACATGCAGCAACCATATGTACTAATTACCATTATCCCCATTTTCCAGATGAGAAATTGAAAACTCAGAGAAATTTCATAATTTGCCTAAAAGTCTAGAGCTAATTTGTATCAAAACTAGGAGAGATTAAGTGCTAAACCCCTCTTTTTATACCCATGACACAGTACCTTTGTCTTCAGGAAATGATTCACATGAGAAAAATCAATGTCTATTATTCTGGAGTATGACATTTCAGAAAAACATTTACATACACAGTAAATTGAATGAGACTCATATAAATTCCTATTTAGTCTTTTATGAATGGGATTCAAGCTGCCAACTGAAGTGGAATTATAGTTATTTCCAGTTTCCATTGTTAGGACTCTGGTTCCTTAAAACCAAAATGTTTTCCCCAGGTATATATAGAATATTGGTACTGAAACCTTTCTTCAGGACACCAGTTATCATTCCTCCTGGCAGAGCCAATGCTCTTTCACACCTGAACTCACTTTTGGAGATAGATCCCATTTTAAGGTTAAGTGTAATGACATTAACAGTAACTTTAGAGACATCAGGCTTATTACAGAGGAAACACAGTTTCCTAAGACCATGCAAATGCAATACTTCAATTCTTCATTTTTATTCCTTACTGGGAATTATTTATTATATTACAGGATGTTATAGATACAAGAGTACCAGTATCAAGGAGAAAGAGCCATAGGTAGAACCACTTGCAGTGACTAAAATGTGCTCAACTTTCCCCACCCACCAAGTTTGCATGTTGAAATCCTAACTCCCAATGTGATAGGATTAGGAGATGGAGCCTTGGAAAGGTAATTGGGTCATGAAAGTGGAGCTCTCATGAATGAAATTAATGCCCTTATAAAAAGGACCCCAGAAACCTCTCTGACTCTCTTTCTACCATATAAAGATATAAGAAGACAACTGTCTGCAGCCTGGAATAAAACCCTCACCACAGCCAGACTTTGCTAGTGCCCTAAGCCCAAACCTTCAGCCTCTAAAACTATGAGGAATTAATATCTATTGTTTATAAGCCACCAGTTTATGTGTCTTTGGCAACCCAAACTAAGACACCAGTTGTGAGGATTTAAATTACAAGTAAAAGGTTAAAACTGGCAATTATTACCAGTGACTTAAACCAGTAATCTGTTTTATTTCAGCTTTTATATCTTCTTATAAACATTTCAAAAATTTTTATGCTCATTGTGCCATCTGGGTAGCAGTCTTTCCAAACCCTCCATTGCCTTATGGCATTGACTATTAATTGTGACAAGTATGTGAACTACGTAGTGGTGTACTGACCATCCAAGCATCTATCTGCAGTGCATCAAAAGTGCTAAACACTGATGACTTTAATCTGCATCATCATTTTATTATTTATTATCTCATAAAATGAAAGACCTATATTCCTGCCTTAGTGGCTAAAAGAAGCATGTGTAGTTATTTTTGCTTGGAGAAAGAGATGGTAACACCCAAGATTCAGTTGTATGCCTCTGTGGTTATCATATGATAAATCAGTGCATTTTGAACAAATCAAATAAGTTTTTGACTTTGGAATCATAAAATTTTGTATAACAGATAAAAGTTTTTACTAGATATAAAGTTGAATATTTTGAATTTTCCTGGGCTCATTAAAGCCAAGAGTTTTGCCACTGAAAATCTGTCACATAGTCCAAATTTTAATCCACAGGCTGGAAAATAAAAACAGAATCGTGTGTAGTTATTGAGCACTGAGAAAAAGGGTTTGCAATCATTATTAAATAGTAACAAACCTGGTAAGTAGATATTATTGAGATAATACAAAGAAATAAAAAATAAGGATAAATCCAGATTAACTTCCAAGTTTCTGAATTTCATAAAATCATGACCCATTAATGTCTTTGGTTTGTTTTTTAAAATTTTCATACTAAATTTCAATTTTTTATTACATTAAAATTTCTAAATTTTTTTCTAGAAGAAAGTATGGTTTCTTACTGTCCTTAAAAATAAAGCTCCATCCAGGAATAGCCTGTTGAGTGAAAATAGAGTCTGATGAAGTGCCTTGTGTACCTTCCTAGCTCTTCTTTTTGTAAATGTTATTTCAGACAGGGTTTAATACAGTAAAACCTTAGATTGTGAGTACATTGTTCTGTGAATGTTCTGCAAGATGAGAAAACATTTCTAATAAAATTTAAATTGATAAATGAGTGATATCTTGCAATATGAGTATGTAAGTAATAGTGACACTGAGCATCACATGATTGCAACTGAGCCAATGGTTCCTCCCCCCACCTCCCTCAGATTGTGGGTGATTGTCACAACAGCAAGGAGTTAGGAAGATCTCATCTGCAGGGGAGACGAGAAAAAGGTGGAAGAATCTCTCACCTCAAATGAGATTGGGGAAATGTGTAAAATATGGGAAACAGGGCAAAATTTTGGTAAAAAGCACCACCTGAATAAAGTTGTAGCAGTGCGAGCAATAAATCTAACAGCAATACAATGTCATATTTCTGAGAAATCCTCAAAAGGAGGCCAAAGCAATTGTCATTAAATAGGTTCCTTGTTAAAGTTCCCCGAAAAGAAAGAGATTCTATTGAGCCAATAGATAGCAGTGATTCCTACAAAATAAGCTTCCTCTCTCTTGTCTCCCTCACACCAGCCATGAAGGTTTTTAAAGATAAGTGCAGGTTAATTTATTTTATTTATATTTTATATTTTATTATTTTGAATTATATTACAGTACTATAATCATTTTATATGAATATTTTTGGGCTGTGGAACGAATCATCAGAGTTTCCATTGTTGTGGGGAAATTCACTTTGATATACAAATGCTTTGGATTACAAACATATTTCTGGAAGAAATTATGCTCACAAACCAAGGTTTTACTGTGCTTGCTTTTATAATTGAGTAGACTTCCCCAGATTGTTTTTTATTGGAAGATATTAATCTGAATTCCAAGAACAAAGGATTCCTAGGCAAATAAGATTGAAGTTGTGGGACTGTATAACTTTGTAATCATAAAACTCTCCTAGCCCCAATTGTGATTGAATGTGAGTTAATAGTTAAAGATGCTTGTTAGTTCTGGAACACAAGATAAAGTCTGTAACAAACATAGAGTTCCTAAGTGAATTACCCATCTCCTTGTTTGTCCGAAACCGATGTTCTGGACACAGCTATCTATAAGACAATCTGCAAACATCTTTTGACCATCAACATTTTTTTTCTCTTTTCTGTAAGTTCTGCTTGCTAACTTCCCCTGCAACCCCCTATAAAAACAGCCTCGGACTCTGAGCCAGTTGCCTCTCTAAGCTACTTTGCTTTGGGAGTGCGGTCTGGCCAGACTAATAAAGGTCTGTTTTACTTTCCAACTTGTCCGGTGTGTTCCTTCCCGGGTGTTCTTCGCTGCAGTCAGCTCCTCGGAGCGTTTGGTAAGGCCCTCAGTCTTACAAAGTCAAACTGTGCCGCTGCACTAGCCGTACATATTATATATTAATATATGAATGGGGCTGATAAAAGCAGCAATAAAGAAAGGTGCTTAACTTGACCTAATGGTTGAACAAAATTGCTGTAGATTTGATTCTCTACATAAGAAAACCAAGAATTGGGATCCTTTCAATAAATCAATCATGAATATAGAAGATTTGAGACCAGCATCAGTTTATTAGAAATATAGTTTGAAAAAAAATTATATGGAAAACTTGCAATGACAGATTTAAGATAAAATCATCATTTTATTGTTCTTGGAAACACACATGTATCAGCATTCTCTACATTTTATTATGTAAGTGCTTAATGTAATTAGTCATTATTTTTTAACCTGTGTTTTAGTTCAGAAATCTTAAAATGAATTCTAGTCCTAATTCAGGTTAAGATCTGAAATAAATTTCTATCTTTTTGCCACCTCAGGATGTACTCCCTTCCCAAAGGCCTCCTATGCTTTAGGAGTTAAGTTTTTTTTCGAGAGTGGACATAATGATTCAAACCATAGCAGATATATACACCAATACTGTTTATCAGAGTATTAGACATAAAAAAAATGTAGTAGAAACAAGAGGAAATAATTTCCTAGTGTAACCAGTCCCTCTCCCTCTCCCAGTCTCTCTCTGGGTTTTTGTTTTGAGGACACAGCAAGCAGGGTGGAACAAATGGGTGTGGTTTATTAGAAAGAACAGACAAAAGCCCTCACTAGAAGAGGGGGGCAAGAGAATGCCAAGGAAGCATCTGAATTTAGAAGCTTGTGTACAGGTCTGAGAGGGCAGACAGAAGGGGTAGAGAATGTACAAAATGCAGATTTTCCACTGCTTGTTAGTCTTTTTGTCATCAGGAGATTTTATTACTTTTTTGTTTTCTGCAGCTCCAATTTCCCTGCAGGCTTATCTCACCTTGTCTTCAGGTTACTAATGCCCTTGTACTATGTCCTTTTATCCCTGGTCTCAACTCCTCCCCATACCCACTCTACAGTGGTGACTCTAACTGCAGGTAGGGAAGTGGAGGCATTGGTAGCTCTAGTTGCTTTTTAACTGGCAGAACACTAGTCAGGGCCCACCACTGTGAGGTCTATTTAAGGGTCCTAAGTAGAAGTTAGGAGGAGTATCTCATCAGATAATCTGTTTGTATTACCATCTGTAGCTTTAAAGCTATATATCTACAAATTCTACATCTCAAATTTAATCAACTGCAGATTGAGAATATCTGAAAAGTAACCATCTCTGTAGTGAACATATATAAACTTGATTTTATCACTGTTGCCTAAAAAATATAGTGAACAATCTTTTATATAGCATTTAAGTTACCTTATATACTACAAGTAATTTAGTGATGATTTAAAGTATATACTGGTAGGAGGAGGTATGTATATTATGTGCAAATACTATGTCACTTTATGTAAGGGACTGAGTTTCTGCAGATTTTAGTATCTGCAGGGCTCCTGGAACCTATCACTCTTAGATATCCAGGGAGCACTATAGTTAAAATCTTGTTGGGCATTGTTCGGTTACTAATTAGTAGGGCTCAGATACCAACTGAGGGAGTCTGATTTTACTTTTATGTGTACATGCTGTATTTTTCAAAGATTGATTGACGTAAAAACACCAATTCTTTTTTTAGGAACAGACACAGATTCCCTCTTTTTGGCATTCAGGAGGTTTAGTCCCTTCTAGTTTTGTAGAGTCATTGCTGCTAGTGAATCAAAAGGCTGTTAGGCTCTGTGCCATTTGTTATAGACGATCAGCAAGATCAAGAGAGAGTTGGTTGAAGTAGGTGAGTGATGTGGTAACACCTGTTAACCCTGTACTAGTCCCCATTGTCATCCTCAATTTTATCAGGGAATAAATTGGATTGCCCTTTTTTATTTTTCTGAAGCTATCACCTTGACCAGAACCGGAACCAGCCAGGAGCCATTAAGAAGGTATACTGGGGGGAGAAGAGGATAGATACCTTAAAGTACATGTAGCTGTCTAGTTGGTAGGCAGGCACGAATGTGTTGAGTGCCACAGAAGACGAAGATGGCCTCAGCCTTTATGTATGGTATGTTGAGAGATCAAGTGAAAACAGGTGTTGAAAGGACAGGGAGACGGAGAGGTAGAAGGCAGCATAAGGGCTTAAACTCTCTGTGGTAGTTAATGTTCTAAGTGTGATACATACTCGGACCAGTTGGGCCACAGCTGTCCCTGTGAGGATCTAAAAGGGAAATAGCCACTGTTTTGATTGATGTCTACTTTATTTACAGGGGAATTAGCTTTTTTTCCTTCTAGATATAACCAGTGGTCTTGTCCTATATGCATGAGATGGACAAAAGCAGTTTGTTTTTGTAGTTGTTCTTCGTACCAGAGATCGAACTCAGGACCTCGCACTTGCCAGGGAGGCACTATTCCACTGAGCTAAATCCCTGGCTCCAAAATTAGTTTTTTGTTTGGCCTAGTGTCTGGGATTTAAAATTTGGACAATGTTTTGTGATTTTGTAGTGAGACTGACCTACTTGTGTCATTGAATGTAGAACTTTTATAGCTATTGGTGTGGCTTTTTAGCCTCATTAAATCATAATAGTGGCAAACTGCAGGTGTAGCTAGAGACGGTCAGCAGGGGCCCCCTGTGTATATTTAATCTAAATGACTATTAATTCTTTTTTTCCTTAGATTCTTTTATTGGTACACTTTAGATATACAATACATTTACATTTATCATTGGGTACTTGGACCTTTACATGAGGTAT